AAAAAAAAAAAAAAAAAAAAAAAAAAAATCTGGCCAGGATCACGTTCGTATATCAGTTGACAAGTCGTAGTGAAAAAGGACCGGGGTTCTATTTACCCGCAGTATCAAGCTTGAGATTTGAACAGCCTTGCTCCATCACTTGCCAGCCACAATAAAAAAAAGGGGGAAACGGACACATGTGTTTACTTTCCACCCTCTGGGCTCCGGACGGACTAGCATCGTGTAAAACGGTGTGTGGCGTTCTTTTCTTATTTAAAAACACATAAACAATGTTTTTTTTTATTTTCCACGAACGCAAAGAAAAGGACCCAAACGAAAAAAAAAAATAAAATCAAGCCTGACATAGACATCATGACAGTACAGCCTATGCATCCCTCATTCTCAAGCCTTAGCGTCGGGGAAAAGGCAACTGCCCTACAATGACGTCGTCTGCCATGGCGCGTTCAACTGTCACTGCACATGAAAATCTCAATATTCTCTATTTCTGCACATAAAAAAATCATGGCGTGAAGCTTCAAAAACACCCCCCCTTAAAAAGACATAGAATTGAAGCTTCGCGCCAACACAAAGTGGCCAACAAATAAATTTTTTTTTCTTTCTACTGGCCGATGGGCAGCTACCTCCACGAAAACGAAAACAATCGGTCGATGCGGAAAACGATCAACGATTCACGTTTGTCACGGACGGCCGCATGTGGTCGAAAACCAAAGAGCACAGGCGTAAATTGGTGCTCTTTGGTCGAAAACCAAAGAGCACACTTCTTCTTTTTTCTAATAAAGAAGCAGGCTTTTTGTTTGGGGGGGGGTGGGGGAGGGGAACTGCATCCGTACCCCACTTAAAGATGGGAATACCCGCTATAAGTGCCCAACTTGCATCTATACCCATACCCTGTCCGACTTAAGGTAACACCCTACTTTTCCTGTGTGCGAACTTATACGCGTACCCTGTCCCACAGGCCCTTGGTTGGGATGATGGAACTGCCGCTTGCTTGATTACTGTTGTCCTTCCGGTTGCTTGAATTTCTGGTCCGTTCTTTATTTTTTGCGATCGAAGATGCGGTGACCGGTTCTGACTCGTTGCAGGATTGGGACTCTACTGTGGGGCGTTGACCTCGAACCTTTTACCTACTGGAAGTTAGTTTTTCAAGCAGTGAAGGTTATAGGATTCAAACTTTGTATTTTGCTGAGACTAGGCCGAAACTGTCAGATGTTTCCGACGCCTTAGGAATTGTCGGCAGGTTGGGGTACTGATACCCGCTGGATTTGATCTTTTGATCTGACGAGAGTTGGTACCTTTGCTTTCTAGAAGGTTTCATAGGAGCACTGATGTAGACCGGTCTGTTGGTTGTATTCTCTCTGGGTTTTTGGACGCGGCTCGTGGTTGACTTTGTCTGACCTTAGCTGTTGCTAGACGTTTGACTGACGCTTCTAAGCCTTGACGGTACTACTACCTAATCTCGCACAGATAAATAGTTTAGGATTGTCTAGGCAACTAAGCGACATCAGACTCCTGGTGAGTGCTGGTGGGCGGCCAGCCGAAACCGGTAGGGTCAGTACGCCGCAAGAACTACGGTTCTTTGCTGATCATTCTTCATGTGTATTTTTTATCAGCGTCGCGTTCGGGTGAATCAATGATTTTTTACTGTTTACTGTGCGTCTCGTCTTCTTTCTTATTCTCTCTCTCTTTGTCGTCTTCTCTCTTCTCCCTTCTCCGTCTTCTCTTTCTTCTCTCGTTTTCCACCTTATCTCTTTCTTCTCTCGTCTTCCACCTTATCTCTGCTCTCTCTCTCTCTCTCTCTCTCTCTCTCTCTCTCTCTCTCTCTCTCTCTCTCTCTCTCTCTCTCTCTCTCTCTCTCTCTCTCTCTTGATTTCACTTTCTGCTGCGACGTACGTCTTTCGGTCACTGCTGACTTGGTCTAGGATTGCATGAGTGTTCGGCTGTTGCCATCAACACTTTGTTACACGGAGTAACCGTCGTAGGGGTTGTACTACGCACGTGTGGCTTCGCTATTTGTAGAAGACCTCCGATCTTGTCGCTATGGCTAATAACAGTGCACCTGCTAGGTTCCCACAGACCTGTTTCAACTGTGGTCAGCCTGGCCACTTTTCTAAGTGGTGTCCTAATCGTGTCTCCAATCCTAACAGTGCCATTATCATTACTCAACCTCCTCTTCTTAGTCTACCCTCGTCTGCTAATAACAATAATGGTAGCAATCATGGTCATTCTCACACGGTCGGTGGCTCTGGTTCGGGTGAGGGGCAGTACACTCGTGGATGGTTTCGCCAATGCGTGGATACTCTCAAAAGTTTCATCGTGGAGATGAAGATTCACCAAGATGTCGAGATTGAAAGCAAACGGGTGAAGAAAGAGGAAGAGGAACGGCTTAAGAGTGAGTTAGCAGAAGAGCAACGGAAGCTGCAAGAGAAGAAAGAACGTGAGGCTTTTCATGCGTAGATTTCGGATGCCATGAATAACAAACTCGATCGTGTTTGTGTTCTTATGGAGAAGAAGGAGAAAGATAGTGAGAAGGTTGCCAAATTGAAAGCGTAGGTGGGAGAGTTACGCAGAGGTCAGCCGAAAGCGTCAGCATCAACGGCTGTTGTGGAGGGTAGGTCCTCGGACAGGGATTTGGTGGAGCAGTTACTTCCAGAGCAGGAAGAATTGAAGAAGCGGTTAGCTAGTGTCACCATCAGTGATCAACGTGTCACTACACTTGAGGAAGAGTTGCCTATTGCGCATAAGTCACGTGATGAGGCACTTGTGGCGGCTGATACTTGGAAGAAAGAAGCCCTGAGACCGGGCAACAAACGTGGGAATGTGGTTCTTCCCACTCTGGTCTCACAGTCTTCTGTGAGGGCACATGTTACTCCACTGCCGGTATCGCCCTCTGGTGCGTTGCGGAAAGCAACTGAAGATTACCGGGAGCTGATTATTCGGCACCAGGAGGAGGTGGAGGCCTTGAAAGGGCTTCGAGCTCGTGACCTGAATGATAGACGTGAAGCAGAAGAGGAGGCAGAGAGACTGCGTGAAGCTTTGAAGATGAGCAAAGAGAAAGGTAAAATGCATGCGACACCCCGATCTGAGTTTCGGGCTCGTCTTGACGATGCGGCCGACGGATCGGGCAAAAAGACGTGTGTGATGTTAAACAAGAAGGTTATCGAAATCCCCGAGGAGGGGGACAACAGGACGAACGATAGGGAGACTTTTGTCAAGGAGATGCGGAAAACGTTGAAGCTGATGAAGAAGGATGATATAGTTTCTATTTGCCTTAAAGAAGGTATTCAGTATTCCACCTTTGAGGTATTGAAGGAAGCGATCACTAAGTTGCGGACTGAGAGGGTCTTTGGCGATGGTACCAATGAAGGGAAGGGACGTGGAAGACCTACGGATGAGGACTCCGAGGATGTTGTGGCTACCGATTCTGATAACAAGGGTGACGTGCCGATGCCAGCACTTCGTAGATTTGTACCCGGACGCGGCTCGTCCTTGGAAAGTTACTCGTCGTTGTTGCACCACTCGTTCTACTTCCTCTGAACTCCTACGATGTAAGCAGTTGAATTCACTCTTACGATTGGCTATTGTGTCTCTCATCTATCTTGGTCAGATTCCTTGGGCTTTGAAACTTCGTGGTTTTATCTCATCTGCTCTGACTTGTGATGGTAAGCTTGATGTTGACCGATGTAATGGACCGCTTGTCTATGTTCTGATCTCTCCATGGAGTAAACACTTGTATGTTGGTAACACTACTCGGAATTTAGACGAGAGATGGTGGGAGCACGTTTATCGGTGTACCAATGAGGAAGCTAGCAAGAAGGAGCGTAATGAAAAATTGTATCGGTGGTTGAGACGGTGTGGAATCTCTAATTACGTTGCGGTCCCGATCTGTTTCTGTTCGGCTGGCGATCTACTTGACACTGAGAAGTTTTTTATTCGATTTTTCTCTGCTTCGCTGAATTCGAAAGATAGAACGACATGATCTAAACGACCTAGGTTGTGGAAACGTGAAAGGTTACGTAAGAAACGACAGTCGGGAGTGGTTGCTTTGTTACTTCTCCCTGAGATTCGTCGTGTTTGCTCTTTCCATTCCTCTGTTGGCTTGGCCTCGAACAATTTGTTGAAGATTCTTGACTATTGCTGTAATCAGGGTATTTCTCGTTGTGTGGTCGTGTGTCAAGGTGGTAATGTGTCGACTGATCGGTGGAAATTTCTAAAGAGGTGTTATGGTTCATCGGTGGTATCTAGTGTTTTTGGTACTGACCAACTTCGAGTTCGTAAAGGATGGTTGTTCTGTAAGGTTGTCTTGCACTTTCATTCGATCACTCCGTTCCATCGGAAATCTTTGATCCTCAAACCTTTTCTGATTCTCTTGCTTAGCAATCCCTCCTTGAAGCGTTCGTTGTATTGTTGGAGTCTTGATGAGTTCCTCCTTGCTAATTCTGTTGTTCGTACCTTTCGTGAGAAACGATCCCGTTTGAGACTACGATGCATTATCTCTAAAGCTGCACATGTGGTACATGGTGTTCTGCTGCGAGAGAGGTTGGTGGTAAAAATTGTTTACGATTGTTCACTCAATAAGTCTAAAATTCGGTTGTTTTGTGTGGAGCTCATTGGTGGATTGGATATATTCCCGCGTGGAAGGATTTACTGATTCGACGCATTCGGGTGGTGTGGAGGAAGAATAAAACTGTTGATGATCGTTTGCACAACTTTCGATTTTTTGCTCGCTTGGACGACCTCCGCTGTTCTTGTTCCTCTCCCGACTCCATCTTTCCTCTAGTTAACGAACACGTTTCGTTTCGTATCAATGATGCTGACCTTCTTCCGGAATGGACAAATAACTCCAAGAATATCTTGCGCCCTTCTTCTACCAAGTCTGTTTTTCAACTCCGACAATAAATTTTTTTTCCCTTTCGTACCTTGAAGTCTCTTCCTTCACTTGATGATGGTGCTCTCTCTAAGACCAGGCTATTGGAATGTTTCAACCTGGTTCATGGCTGTTCTTCTGACTCCATTGATGACATTGCTTGTATTAAGGAGAAGATTAATGGGCTGGTTTGTACTCCTATTGACCATAATGTTGGTGATTCGCTTGTCTGCTTTCCTACTATTTATCGGAAAGGTCTTGCTACGCTGTTCTTTAACAATCCGTCTTTTTGTCTTTATCCTTCCGATGTTGAAGATACTATTCTTCATTGCAAACTTGATTACCATGATTCTGGGCTGTCTGTTGTTGCGCAATGGAGATCGTCTGGATCCTTTGGACAGGCGTATTGCATCCCGAAGCATAAGGATGTCACTCGTTAGCATCCTATATGTCCCTCCTTTTTTTAAGGTGGTTATACTGGTAGTCGACGAATTTCACGTGTGGTTAATCTACTGTTATGGAGCCTCCCTGCACGTCTTCACTTTAATCTTCGCAGTACTAAGGATTTGATCCAGGAAGTTGGCCGTATTAATAAGGAGTTAAAATCTGACGAAGTGCTGGTAGGAGCTTCCTTTGATATAAAGGAAATGTTTTCAAACCTACCACATCAATCTATTTTGAAGGCCCTGGAGTGGGTGATTGACTTTTGGCATGTTGAAGGTTTTAATAAAGTGGCGATACAAACCAAAGGAAAGGATGTGAGACTCACCAAGGGCAAGAAAGAAGATGGGTGGTTGTTTCTTCCTCTCAGTGTGGTGCTTGATTTCGTTCGCTTCGAACTTAAAAATACCTTTTTTCTGGTCTCTGGGAAACTGCTGCAGTAAGTGACAGGTATACCTATGGAAAAATCTACGAGCCCTGCTCTAACCTGTTTACTGTGTGCTTATAGTGAGTTTCAGTTTCTTTCTTCTCTTGGTACCGATTCACGGTTACTGTGGGGGTTTCGACTTGTTGACGACGTATCGATTTTTGTTGTTTGCAAACGAGGGTGTTCGACATCACTCTATCAAGGTAAGCAGTTGTTAAAGGAATTCCGTAGTTGTTATAATGGTAATTTGGTCTTGGAACAAACAAATGAGGAGCAAACCTGAGACTTTCTTAGCTGTCTACTGAAGGTATGCAACAGTGAGATTGGGATTGGTTGTGTTACTCTACATAAAAATCAGCGAGACCCTATTAATCAGAAACCTGTTTTTCAAAATCTGCAGGACTTTTCTTCCTATTCTAGTAAAAGACAAAAGTTGGCTGTTATCTCCTCTTTTCTTCATCATGCTAAGTGTTTCATCACTATTGAAGGCGTCGAACTGCCTTTCTTGTTCACTCTCAAAGTGGAGCTCTGGCTGCATGGTTACCCCGATGATTACTTCGATTCGGCGTTGGTTAATTTTTCGAGGAAAAGGGCTGGATGTTCGGACTATTGGATTCCGGTGCTTACCAATTGGAGGCGCTGGTTTGGTTCAAGAAAGATGGGTGCCGTTTTTAATCATGGGTCCGAAGATAGGACCTGGGTTCATCAAAAATAGGATGTGGGAACTTTGGTGGTCTACAGGTTGCTCATCTTGCACCTCGTATTTGGTTAGGATGATGGAACTGCTGCTTGCTTGATTACTGTTTTCTTGCCGGTTGCTTGAATTTCTGGTCCGTTCGTTATTTTTTGCGATCGAAGATGCGCTGACCGGTTTTGATTTGTTGCAGGATTGAGACTCTACTGTGGGGCGTTGACCTCGAACCTTTTACCTATTGGAAGTTGGTTTTTCAAGCAGTGAAGGGTGTAGGATTCGAACTTTGTATTTTGCTGAGACTAGGCCGGAACTGTCAGATGTTTCTGACGCCTTACGAATTGTCGGCAGGTTGGGGTACTGATACCCGTTGGATTTGATCTTTTGATCTGACGAGAGTTGGTACCTTTGCTTTCTAGAAGGTTTCATATGAGCACTGATGTAGTCCGGTCTGTTGGTTGTATTCTCTCTGGGTTTTTGGACGTGGTCCGTGGTTGATTTTGTCTGACCTTAGCTGTTGCTAGACGTTCGACTGCCACTTCTAAGCCTTGAACGTATTATTACCTAATCTCGCACAGATAAATAGTTTAGGATTGTCTAGGCAACTAAGCGACATAAGACCGCTGATGAGTGCTGGTGGGCGGCCAACCGAAACCGGTAGGGTCGCCGCAAGAACTATGGTTATTTGCTGATCATTCTTCATGCGTATTTTTTATCAGTGTCACATTCGGGTGAATCAATGATTTTTTACTGTTTACTGTGCGTCTCGTCATCTATCTTCTCTCTCTCTCTCTCTCTCTCTCTCTCTCTCTCTCTCTCTCTCTCTCTCTCTTTCTCTCTCTGTGTGTCGTCTTCTCTCTTCTCCCTTCTCCTTCTTCTCTTTCTTCTCTTGCTTCCATCTTATATCTGTTTCTCTCTCTCTCTCTCTCTCTCTCTCTCNTTTTTTCTTTTTTCCCGCGCTTCTCTGCCAGGACCCTGCACCAACGCCCACCCACCTCCACCCCTTAAACTTTTTATTGAGAAAACTAGGGTGCAGTCAGGGTTACAGTTTGTAATTGCAATTGAAACTGCGTTTTAGCAGTTCAGTCAGGGCCCAAGTTTCAATTGCATTGGAAACTCTGTTTTAGCAGTTTGAAACTCGGGCTGGCTTTTTCTAGCAGTTCAGTCAGGCACATTGTCGTTTCTTTCTTGCTTCATTTTTTTTTATTTTTATTTTTTTCCGGTCGCCGCACACGCCGCGGCGCAGCCCGTTTCTTTCTTTCTTTGGTTTTTTTTTTTTTTTTTTCCTCGGCATGCCGCAACGCGCCGTGCCGCTCCTGTCTCTTATACACACCTAGATGTGTATAAGAGACAGCCCATATGGGGGTCTGTTTCCCCGCTCTCCATTCCCATTCTGCAGGGTCAAAGGGCAAGTTATTGATGGGGATGTTGGGCTCACATACCCATTTTCGCTGTTTTTTGTTTTCCAGCACCCTCACCCTCATGAGTTGGTAAATCGGCATCTCACAGTCTCTTTCTTCTTGCCTGGAGAGCTCAGACCATCTTTGGCCCGGTAGGTCCACTTCGTAAGCTTCCAGCTTGACCAAGTCCGGGCATGTATGTGAGACTCTGTACACAGCTGTCGGTATGGGGAGGGACTGAAGCTGGACCACCCAGTCCCCAACCTTAAGTGTCGGGCCTGTTTTCAAGGCGAGCGTCCATCCTATGGGGATGGCCTCAATTATTTGGGTCCTTTTTTGCTCCAAATTTCTGACATTTTTTAGTTGTTCCTTTAGTTTGTCCAGGGTTTTCCAGTTGTCTCTTGTTTTATCCCACAGGTCTCCTACAGTATAAAAACCTTTTCTCACCCAGGCCAGCCATGTAGAGTTTGGATGTAGTCTCTTATACACATCTAGATGTGTATAAGAGACAGCTCTAGTGTTGCTCTCGCCGGTGGTGAGGACTTCCCACAGTAGGAGCAGATCGGGGAAAGAATGCCGCGCTGCTCCAGATTTGTGCGGGAGACAATCCAGTCCGGGGTGGGGAGGCATCTGTGGAGGATCTGCCACTGGAGAGCTCGGCAGGCTGTTGGCATGATCTTCGAATATCGGGACCATGACAGGTCCTTCAGGTCCTGATGAGTGAGCGGGGAGTCCCTTTCCCATCTGTTCTTAACCACTTCTGTTATCGGGGA